GAAGAAATGGCTCATAAGATGAAAAGCTTCGAACGAAGTCTTAAGAACATGCAAGGCCTGAGTGGCCAAAAGAGTGTCTTGTACTCCGATCTATGCATGTTTCCTCATGTTCACTTGCCCACTGGCTTTAAAATGCCAAAATTTGAAAAGTACGATGGGCATAAAAACCCGATCGCTTACTGAAATGATACTGTAACCAGTTGAGGGGTGCTGGTGGAAAAGAAGAATTACTGGTGGCTTATTTCGAGGAGAACTTGACGAGAATTGCGTCAGAATGGTACATGGACCAGGATATCTCCCATTGGCATATATGGGACGACTTGGCCTGAGATTTCATCAGGTAATTTCAATATAATGTTGATATAGCTCCAGATAGGAATTCCTTGACCAATTTCAAGAAGAAAACCGCAGAAAGTTTTCGTGAATACACTATCGAATGGTGTGAGCTAGCAGCCAGAGTGAAACCGCCTATGGATGAGACAGAAATGGTCAATGTTTTCTTGCAGGCCCAAGATACCGATTACTTTCAGAACATGATGTCTGCCATGGACAAAATTTTTGCAGAAGCCATAAAAATCGGAGAAATGGTAGAAAATGGCCTGAAAATTGGCCGAATCATAAGTCAATCTACTTTGAGAGCCACCTCTCAAGCCATCCAGAATGGCTCAGGAGGTTTAGAAAATCGAAAGAAGAGGGAAGAAAGAGCCATGATGGCTTCAGCTTCGAGAGGCCCCCATCGATCCTGTGATCATTCTTACCTTCCTTCCAGAACCCCACAACACTACTACCCCTATCAAGATGCAGCATATGCTATGGCACCGCCTACCTATGCGCTGATGAATGGCTAACCCTATACACGGCCACAACAACACTACAACCAAAACCGATCTCCCCCTCCTAAAATAACCATCCTCACCAAGCTCCATACAACCCTCGTCCACCATAAAACAACTACCAATATAATACATGCCACAATGAGCCTCCTAGAAGAAATGATTTTACCCTTATTACTGAGTCCTACTCCAGTCTATTTTCGAAATTAATCTAGATGGGTTTATTGTAACCCATGCCTTCAAACCGGAAGAATCCGGAATCTCCATATACCAGCCCAGTACCAGGTGTGCCTATCCTTCGAGGCCAGAGGGTCATGATACAGAGGAGTTTTGGACTCTAGAGGGCAGTTGAGAATTTGATAGAACAAAAACGAGTGGTGCTGAGGGACGAGGAAGTCCCTAATGTGACTAACAATCCATTACCGACTCACAATAACGGGTCGGTTATTGGAATGATTTGTGATGATAAAGAGTTTGATCCAGCCTTGAAAGCCATCATCGCCATTGCTGATTTAGAGGTAAGACCCAAAGCGGCGACGAAACAAGACAAAAATGAGAAGAAAATCACTCTAATCCCTCAAGTTGTAGAAAAAGCTATAGAAACAAAAACTGGGGCAACACCTGCTAAGGACACAATTCTCTATATTCCTTGGGCCCCAAGGAAAGAATAGCTCATGTTAAACACTCCCAAAAGATTCGAACAAAGGAAAGTCACGCTGAATGTGCCAAAGTTGTACGTGCCAAAAGGGACTTATGTGGTACGGGGGCCGGTAATTCCACCAAGGCTGGTTGAGCCTGTGGTTATCAGCTGCGCACTACAGAGCCCTATGAGAGACCCCACAACAGTCCCCTGGAATTTTAACAAAATAGTAGTTCTTACAAGGGGAAAGAGATCATAGGGGAGGTGAACGAAATGAACCAATCTGGGGGTATCACAATATGGAAGAGTTGAAGAAATCAAAACTTAACAAAGAGAAATGGTTTCCACCCAAGAAGCCTGTAAGCGCTGAAGAAGTAGAAGAGTTCTTCCGAAAATGAAAACTTCGGAATATGCCATAGTTGACCAACTCCGGCAGACTCCGTCCCAGGTCTCGCTTCTATCTCTGTTATTGAGCTCGAATGAACAAGAAGGTACTCTTGAAAACATTGAACAAGGCATATGTCCCGGTTGAAACTTCAGTCGAACAATTGGAGAGAATGGCTGAACGATTCTTCGAAGTCAATAGGATGTTTTTCAGCCGTGATGATTTGCCGCCGCCCACAACAAAGCCCTTCACTTGACTGTCAAATATGAAGGTTATTATGTGAAGATAGTCATGCTAGATGGTGGGTCCGGGGTCGACATTTTCCCTCTCTCTACGCTCTAGAGGATGGAAATTGGAACAAAAAGAATTCAACCAAACAATGTCTGTGCGCGAGCTTTTGATGGTATCAAGCGAGACACAATAAGGGAAATCTATTTGATTTTGACCATTGGCCCTGTGGATTTCGAAGTGACGTTCTAGGTTCTGGACATGGATACTTCATATAACTTTCTCCTAGGAAGACCATTGATTCACGCTGCAGGAGCTTTACCCTCCACTCTTCATCAAATGGTCAAATTTGAGTATGAAAACCAAAAAATTGTTGTACACGGGGAGGATGAACAGTCCATTTACAGGGATCCTTCAGTCCTGTGTCTCGAAGCTAGAGAAGGAAGTGAGCACATTGTCTATCAAGCCTTTGAAATTATGGTCGTCGACCAATGCAAAGAAGGGACCCCGTTCCCTCAACCTTTCCTATCTAATGAATCGGTCATGGTCGCTGGTGAAATGATTAAACATGGGTACAAGCCCGGAAAAGGGGCTTAGGGTATCTCTACAAGGCATCACAGAGTCCATCACATCGACTGCAAATGAGAAGTACTTCGACATAGGTTTCCAGGCTACAAATGCCGATATAAGATGGGCTGATTAGCTCAAAAAAATGGATGGGTCCTGCCCCAGCCCATTCTGCATCTCGCCAAGTTATTTGTTAAACCAAGTATGTAGAAGAAGAAGAAGAAGAAGAAGAAGAAGAGGCCTTCAAGGCCGAAGAGATTTGAGGATATTTGTGAAGCCATGAAGCAAATGTTGTGCGAGTCCCACATGGTCCAGCCGGGTGAAGGCACGAGCACTGCTGAGGTGCTGTACATGAGACCAAATCCTAAGCTTCAGAATTAGAAGGCTACCCCATTCCCTATCAGGCAGGAATCCCGGTAGTCCAGTCTTGCCATCTTTTCTACATTACGAGTTATTTCAGGGTGTAACTTGAATGTTTTTAGTTTATTGTGTTTTGATTTTGATGTAAACCCTCTTATCTTCAATTCAATGAAATGAAATCAATATTTCATCATCAATGGATGTCTCCTTTTTCTTTATTCTAATTTTGCTATTTTTTTTATCTTCTTCTTTTCAGTTCTAATAATGCAGACTTAAATAACATGACATGCTTGCGGACTTCATGCCCAGATCCTAAAATGTTGTCTCACTATGAAATAATGAATCAAGAACCAGAATATGACGAAGATGAGGCTTTTAGGGAAATAAATCGAGAATTGGAACAATTTGAGAATAAGCCTAAGCCAAACGTAAATAAAACCGTGCTAGTTAATTTGGGTAGTCCAGAAGAGGTTCGGAAAACCATGATAAGCATTCACGCCGATGAAAGAACTAGAGATGCATTGATCCAACTATTGTTTGAATTCAAAGACGTATTTGCATGGTCCTATAATGATATGCTAGGGCTGAGTGTCGATTTGGTGGTACATAAATTGCCAACTTATCCTGGTTATCCACCTGTCCAACAAAAGTAGAGAAAGTTTAAAACGGACATTAGTGATAAGATCGAAGAAGAAGTCACCAAACAATTGAAAGCTGGTCTGATTTGAGTGGTCTGATACACCACATGGTTGGCTAACGTGGTCCCAGTGCGAAGAAAGATGGGAAAACCCGAGTGTATGTTGATTATCGGGATTTGAAAAAAGCAAGCCCTAAGGACAACTTCCCATTGCCAAACATTCACATTCTCGTTGACAACTGTGCCAAACATAAGATATAGTCTTTCGTGGATTGTTATACTGGGTATCACCAGGTTCTGATGGATGAAGAAGACGCATAAAAGACGGCATTCATCACACCTTGGGGCACTTACTGTTACATGGTCATGCCATTTGGTTTGAAAAATGCCGGGGTGACCTACATGAGAGCTATGACTGCCATCTTCCATGACATGTTACGCCAGGAAATTGAGGTGTATGTGGATGCTATGATCATTAAATCCAGAACGCAGGAAGACCATGTGCGAGATCTGAGAAAGTTCATTGAGCGCCTGTACAGGTATGACTTGAAATTGAACCCAGCTAAATGTGCATTTGGAGTTCCATCTGGAAAGCGTATGGGGTTTATAGTCAGTCGGAGGGGTATTGAGTTAGATCCAACAAAGATAAAGTCTGTTCAGGATTTGCCACCTCCGAGAACCAAGAAAGAGGTCATGAGTTTGCTAGGAAGATTGAATTACATAAGTAGATTCATCACTCAGCTCATTACCACTTGCGAGCCCATATTCAAACTGTTAAAGAAAGATGATGCGATCAAATGGACAGAAGAGTGTCAAGAAGCTTTTGATAAAATCAAAGAATATCTGTCAAATCCGCCTGTGTTGGTTCCACCCGAGCCAGGGAGACCTTTGTTCTTGTACCTGACAATCTTGGAAAATTCTTTCGGTTGTGTCCTCGGGCAATATGATGTGACCAGGAAGAGAGAGCAATCCATATACTACTTGAGCAAGAAGTTCACCAGTTATGAAGCCAAATATACTTTGTTGGAAAGAAATTGCTGCGCTCTAACTTGGGTCGCCCAGAAGCTCAGACATTATCTTTTGGCCTACACCACATATCTCATAACCAGAATGGATCCTCTGAAGTACATATTCTAGAAACCAATGCCTACGGGAAGGTTAGCAAAATGACAAATCCTGCTCACTGAGTTCGACATTGTCTGTCACCGCACGGTGATAAAAGCTCAAGCCTTGGCGGATCATCTAACTGAGAACCCGGTTGATGATTAATACCAACCCCTAAGTACTTACTTTCCGGGCGAGGAAGTAAATTTAGTTGAAGTAATTCCAGAGGACTCCCATGGTTGAAAAATGTTCTTTGATGGAGCTGTAAATGAAAAAGGTGTCGGGATCTGGGCAATATTGATTTCACCCACTGGTGAGCATTATCCGGCCACAGCCTGGCTTTGTTTCTTCTGTATGAACAACACTGCCGAGTATGAAGCTTGCATTATGGGCATGAACATGGCAGTTGATCTGGATGTTGAGGAATTGTTAATCATGGGAGATTCTAATTTAATTATCCGGCAAGCTCAAGACGAGTGGGAAACTCGAGATATCAAACTCATCCCATACAGACAACATGTTGAATATCTCAGCAAATGGTTCAAGTCCATCGAATTCAGGTATATTCCTCGATTCCACAATGGGTTAGCTGATGCACTAGCTACTTTGGCCTCAATGCTACCGTATCCTGGCAATGTCCATATTGACCCGCTGGAAATCCAAATTCGAGAAAGGCATGGTTATTGTAATGCAATTGAAATAGAACCAGATGTTCATCCATGGTATCATGATATCAAAAGATTTTTGAAAACAAAGGAATATCCCGAGCAGGCCAGTGGAGATCAAAAGAGAAATATCAGAAGGCTTGCAAGCAGTTTCTTTTTGAGCGGAGAGGTCTTGTACAAAAGCTCTAGATTTGAATCTTTTGAGGTGCGTAGATGCCCTAGAAGCTGGAAAGATCATGAATAAAGTGCATTCGGGAGTATGTGGGCCCCATATGAATGGATATGTCCTTGCAAAGAAAATCCTGCAGGCAGGTTATTATTGGATGACCATGGAAAATAATTGCTTCAGTTTTGTTCGAAAGTGCCATCAATGTCAGATATGCGGTAACCTGATTCATGCACCGCCTTTAGAGTTGCATCATATATCAACACCTTGGTCGTTCATTGCCTGGGGTATGGATGTCATTGGGCCAATCGAGCCGAAAACTTCAAATGGGCACAGATTCATCCTGGTTACCATTGATTATTTCACAAAGTGGGTTGAAGCAGTTTCTTTTTCTTGCCCTTCCTGAGCCGAGGGTCTATTGGAAATAGCCTCTCTACCTGCATTAGGTAGGGGTAAGGTCTGCATACAAACTACCCTCCCCAGACCCCACCAGTTGGGATCATACTGGGTTTTTTGTTGTTGTTGTTGTTGTTGTTGTTGGTTTGAAGCAGTCACTTTCAAAGCCGTCACAAAGAAAGCGGTGGTAGACTTCGTGCATTCTAACATTATTTGTCATTTTGGTATTCCCAAAACAATCATTACAGAAGATGCTGCAAATATGAACAACCACTTGATGAGGGAGGTATGCGAACAATTTAAGATTACGCATCGGAATTCTACCCCTTATCGGCCCAAAGCTAATGGCGATGTTGAAGCTGCAAACAAGAATATCAAGAAGATCCTCAGGAAAATGGTTCAAAGTTCTAGACAATGACATGAAAGGCTGCCTTTTGCATTATTGGAATATTGCACAACCGTGCACACATCAGTTGGGGCCACGCCTTACTTATTGGTTTATGACACTAAAGCCGTAATACCTACAGAAGTTAAAATTCCCTCTCTTCGAATCATTGTTGTAGCTGAGATCGAGGATGATGAATGGATCAAGGGCAACTCGTTCTAAGGCGTATTCTCCCGCATCATGAAGAAGAAGAAGGAAAATTTTCTCCAAATTAGAAATGTCCTTATAATATAAGAAGAGTGTTGCCAAGGGGAGTGTTGTATTTGGGAGACATTGACGGAAATGATCCCGAGACAACCGTTAATACAGATGCAGTCAAAAAGTATTACATTTGACCTTCACGCAACTCTAACATGCTCCGATTGGGATGGCGAAAGCTTTCATTCTCGCTACCCTAACACTACCAACCCTTGCAAACCCTTTGAGCCAGTTCCCTTTCTTTGATTACCCTTTTCGGAACCTGGAAGTTATCATGAAAAAAAAAGATGAAAAAAACAAAAAAAATCAAAAACAAAGTTTCTTGAACTACATTCGACTTGATTCAAAAAGGATACGTAGGCAGCCTCTCTCTAGGGTTTAGCCATACCAAAACAAGAATCCACATTTCCCTAAAGTTGAAACCCGGGCAGAAGTTACAATGATTCGGCAATGGTTTCGCTAGAAAGGTTCCAAAGTTGTAATTCAATCCAAATTCCTTCAACCCAAATCCTTTTCAAGTCTTTCCGATTGATCGGCAAAGATGTTCAACATGGAGGATACAATTACTTGGATCTGATACAAAAAAATGAGAGAAATAAAATAAGAGGGTCTTATTGGTGAAAACCCTCATGGGCACCGTAAGGCGATGTTAAGAAGAGAAATTAAAATGAGAGAGTCTTGTTAGTAAAAACTCACAAAGTGCACTATAAGGTGACGATGAGAAGAAAAATGAGAGAGGTCAGCTGGTAAAAACCCGCAAAGGGCACCACTGATCGAAGAGAGGATCCTCACAGCCATCGGCATCGACAAAGTCCTGGCAAGGTTTCTCGATTTTGAGGCATAAGTTGTGATAAATTTCTAAGAGTTGGACGGTTCACACAGATCAGACATCCAATCCAAAAGGCATGTCATGTTCATTAAAGTCCACATGCACTCTAAATAAGTCCGTCTTTCTTTTCCCTGAAAGGGATACCTCTTGTCTAAATTCATTTATCCATTTCATTGTTTGCTTTTCTTTAAATCCCTTTCGGTCTAACTCTGTTTCGTGACTAAGACAAAAAAAGGATGGCAAGACTAATTTACAGGATTATCGCTTGATACGAGCTAATATGCAAAAAAAGGCACCCAGCCTCAGCAGGGGCATCAAGTCGACTCCGACTGGCCATGGTGGTTGATGCTTCAAAATCAAAAACTATTAAAAGAGGAAATTCAAATTCAAATGCCCACAAATACAAAATAAAGTTGAAAAGGTTAAGTCCCACGTGACTGACCATCATGGCAAAGTATGGAAAAGCCAGAGGTTCTCCAAGGTTAGAAATGCAATCGGTATTCAGGAAACAACTAGTTACAATTGAAAGGGCCGAGATCAAGTGACTGAAATGATCAAGGCCACAAAACCAACCACTGTTTCAAACTGAAAATTGTTCTTTGTTTGAAAAACAGAAAACGGGTGCAATCCAAAGCAACTTGGCAAGAAGCAGGTGCAACCAAAAGAAACCGCGCGGAGACTAAAATAGCTCTGCTGCAACAACGACTCCAAAAAAAGGGGGAGGGAAATTCTTCTTCAAATTCTTTCCTGCATTTTACTCATTCTCTTAATAAAAAATTGAAAAGAAAGAAAATTCAAAATCATGGTAGTATAGGGTCTCCAATCCCTAGTTGCATTTTCCAACATAGCGTCTCTAATCCCTAGTTGATCTTTATTTTAGACATAGGTACTCCACTCCCTATGTTGATGATCTTTAGACATATGGTCTCTACTCCCTAGTCACTTTTCCAACATAGGGTCTCCACTCCCTAGTTGCTGCTTTTTAGACATAGGGTCTTCACTCCCTAGTCGCTTTTTCAACATAGGGTCTCCACTCCCTAGTCGCTTTTCCGACATAGGGTTTCCACTCCCTAGTTGATGCTTTTATTTTAGACATAGGGTCTCCACTCCCTAGTTGATGCTTTTATTTTAGACATAGGGTCTCCACTCCCTAGTCACTTTTCCAGTATAGAGTCTCCACTCCCTAGTTGATGCTTTTATTTTAGACATAGGGTCTCCACTCCCTAGTTGATGCTTTTATTTTAGACATAGGGTCTCCACTCCCTAGTCGATTTTATTTTAGACATAGGGTCTCCACTCTCTAGTCGCTTTTTCCAATATAGGGTCTCTACTCCCTAGTTTATTTCATTTTAGACATAAGGTTTCCATTCTCTAGTATCTGTTTTCTTAGGGTACACCAATCCCGAGCTTGTATTGCTTCAAAAATGAAGTATTATAGAGTTTTATTATCAATAATTCACGAAATTTTCCTAGTGAAAACTAGGGCAGAAAATTTTTGTTCGTTTGTTTTGTTTTGGTGTTGGAGAAGGTTATACCTCGAGGCACAGGATTTGAGAGGACCAAAAGAAGAAGTTTCATTCCAGAATTAAAAAAAAAAGAGAAGAAAAAGAAAAAGAAGTGAATCCAAAGTGCAAAAGCGGAGAAAAGATATGGACTGCTCAAGACATGACTGAAGTCACAAGCTTTGAATGTCCCGTCTTGATCCGAAAAAAGTCGAAAAAGAATGAACTAGTACCTAAAACTATCAAGCATCAAGATTCAGATCAGAGTCTGCGTGAAGAACCAGCCAAGACTCAAGATCAAGCTTCAGAAGACTTATAGATAGGAATCTTGTAACTCATAGCTGATAGGCTTGTTTAGTTTATTTTTATTTTGATTTGGTGTAATAAGGAGCTCAGCAAGCAGTAACAACAACAACAATAGTGAAATCACAACTTCTCGGTAGTTCCAGCTACTAAAATTTTCAGAACTACACTGACCTTATTCCTTTATAGACAAGGATATGTAGGCAACCTCCGAAGCAAGGTTTGGTCAAACTTTTTCAAAATGCTTCCCATGGAGTGTCCAGTGGGCAAACGTTGCTCGTAATTGCTCACTTTATATTTTCCCGAAAACTCTTCATGTTCTCGAGCAAAGAGGGACAGCTGTGAGCACGTAATTTTGTCCTACAGAAAACGTTCCTACAAAATCCACAAAAAATAGTTTTTTCCTAATTGTTTTTGAATTTATAGAATTTTAGGATTTGATTTTAAATTATTTGTTTGTATTTAGCTGCATTTCCATGCATATTTAATATTTTAAATTTATTGAAAAACCATAAAAATTATTACATTTTAATTTCGTGCTATCTTAGGTTTAATTTGCATTTTAGGAATTAATTACTCTTTAATTTTTTTTAATAATCTATTAGTCAGTGCCTAGGGCTAGTTTTTATATATATAGAAAAATGAAAAATAAATTGTCATGAAGTCCTAAAAAATGAAAGAAATAAAACTTGCGAACTACATAGAACCTATTATCAAAGTTGAGTGAAATTCTCAACAATGATAGCACATGTGATCTAGTGTATCTTTTATAACTAAAAACTAGCCCTTGAGGCCCGTTACATTTGATGTCCAGCTGAAAATTCCTTTTCTTGTTATAATATCCTCTTTCATAAATAGCCACTGCCCATTTCCAATTCTTGCATGCATAACCACCTCGATTGCACTCATAGCCAATGATGATAGAAAATACCTTTTCTTTGCCTTGTATCCTTATATGTTGTGTGATTGCATCCCCATTCGAAAATATGCCAGTCCAATCTGCATAACAATGTAGGCCATGCAAATTCTTGAAAAAATGCATTGTACAAAGAAGTACGAGTACACTATTTTTGATTTTATTTTCACATGCCTTCCGTTGATTATATCTTGATGGCTTTGCATGGAGTTTGTCCTGTGTCATCCTATTATCGTGCCTTATGGATATTGTATCCCAATTTGGATCCAATTTGCCTGATATGAGCTACCAATTGGGCCATAATGAGCTGCCAACTGTGCTACTGCTTTCGCATTGCCAGGTTCCTAGCGAGAATGGGTATCTTGCGTCGCCTGGTTGTTCATGTTGCTCTTGGTCTCCTTGGGCGAGGTGTATAACGAAGGAGAGCAGGCCCCGGACTGTGTGTTGCCTAGTCCATTGCGAAAAGGAGCTTGCGTATTGCTTGGCGTCGCCTGGGCATTTTCTTGCTTGTGGTTGCGCTGCGTGTGATCAATAACAAGGAAGAGCAGGTGACAGAGCGTGCACCGCTAGGTCCAACACGAGATGGGGCTGGAAAAATACCTGGCGTCGCCTGGATGTTGTTATTTGGTAGAATTAATGCATAAAAAATCAAATAAAATATTTTTAATTTTACATGTATTTGTTAGTATATAAATAGATTAATTTTTCTAATTAGAATTGAGTTAGGGTTTAATTAAGATTTTTTAATTAACTTTGTAGAATTTTAAAATTAAAAGAAAAGAAGAAAGAAACAAAGAAAGGGAAATAAAAAAAATATTTGGCCTTGTTCCTAAAGCTGAGCCAATTCCTAATAGCCCAATTGCTTCAACACCCAACCCAACCTCCTACCCGGTCCAACCAGCCCCACTAACTACCAGAATGACCCGGTTTTAGTAACACCCAATCCCAGACGTTGATCATTCTTGATCCAATGGTTTGCAATTGAATCCCCCTCCCCCTTAAAACTGTCCGAATCTCACCCCCGAAACATAAAAAATTATTTCATTTCCCATCTCCCTCACCCCAAACCCAACCCAACCCGCCCTAACATTCCCACAAATCCCCACCGGTGGCGCCATTCTAAACCACCACCAAATGACCCCGTCTTTTCACTAGACAATCACTGTTCTCCCCTCTCTTCAAATTCCATAACCATTTCCCTCAAATCCTTCTAGGTTTTTAAATTTTTAGATCCGAAGTCTCAGAGAAAACCTAGGTTTTACTCATCTTCTATTTTTCTTCAACAAATTCATTCGTTTTGGTTCAAACTTACGTGAGTTGATTGATCTTGACACGAGCAATCGATTCATGTTAGTTTGGTTCATTTTGAAACTCATTGGATTTCGGCCAACTCACCATAGTTTGTTTCATTTCGAAATTCATCGGATTTTGGCCAACTCACCACTGACCGGCCAAAGCTTCATCGGCATTATTTTTCGTCGATTCGCCTCAATCACCGTCTCCTTTAGAATCCAAATCAGTGTATATCTCTTTTCCTTTTTTTTGTTTCTTTTTTCTATTTCAGATTATTTGCTTAGGTGTTAATTTATTTTGATTAAGTTTGTTATTAGTTTGTTTAAGGTCAGTGAAAATAAGATTAATCAGTTAATTACATGTTCATTGGTTTATCACATGTGTTTAGGCTAATTAATTCATTAATTTAGTTAGGTTTAATTGATAAATTATTTCTATTTTGTTTTGAACTTTTTTCCTAATCGTTTGATTATTAGAGGTTTGAATGCCAATTAAGAATCGGGGGGGGGGGGGGGGGGGGGTGAAAGTGGTAATTACACAAACCCTAAAGGGGATAATTGAAACAAAAAATTAGAGAATCTTGTTGAGTTTTTTGGGGAAGTCTCTAGAAGGGATTAAAGTGCAATAAAAACCAGAGATTTGATCAGATTTTAGGTTGAAAAGTGTAAATTCAGAAGTTAAAAGGGCTAAAAATAAGGGGAATATCTGGATAAGATAGCTGTCCCAACAACTGTCCATTTTTTGTTCAAAAAGATGCTTCTTTTCTAAATTTTAGGGACTGCATTCATTAGATGATTCCCTCACCTTTTGCCTATGTAAGAGGCCTAACACTCCCTCACACAACACACGTTAATATTCAAAACCATTCCTCTCAAATACACACACAAAATTTATCTTAGAGTTTCTTTTTATTTTCTTTTACAAGCTTAGTTTCTCTCATACAATTATTTCAGAGGTCTTATTGGGTGCTATTCATCAAAATTCTGATCTTTCTGAAGCTAAATTTTAGCTGAAGTCAAGGTTCATTCTGATGATTTTGTTCTAGTTGTTTCCTGCTTGCTGCATTTGTTCTTGCTGTTGCTCTTTTTTCTGTTTTTAGAGGCTTATTTTCTATTTTGTTTTGATTCTACTGCTAGGTATGTAAATTTTCATTTATCATTCTCCATCTACTGATATGAGTAACACTTTCTATATTCGTGTCATGTTTATACTTAGCATCTGCTTCATGAATTATGATGCTTGATGGCTTCATTTCTACTACTTGCTGGTTTCTTACTGTTGAAGTATTATGCTGATAGATGTTCTTCACTATAAATCTTTTAAATTCCCTGATTGCCTATGAAATCTTAACAAAAGAAAGAAAGTTTTGAAATCATTTGGATCCTCACTAGTTGTTTCATCTATGTGGATACGTGAGGGACAAGGTGCTAATTTGCAAACAACTTTGTAGCTGCCTTGGTAACTTAAGACTTATTTGAGAGGTCGTAACAGCCAAATGAGCCCAGATCGTGTAGTTGTTTGAAGGCAGTGTAGCTGATACCTTAATTTTGAATGTACTAGAATTGTTAATTGACTTGAGTTCGATAATTTTCCTGGATAATTGTTAATTATAATTGTGTTGATAAAGGACTCCTATTGTTGGTTATCCGCTCATTCTAGGTTCTAAAATGCATATTTTCAATTCTAAATTGGTTGAATCTTCTTTGAATTTCTAAAGATCGGCTTAGTGTGCATTATTTGATAAAGTTTCCAGTTGAATAAGTCATTTGGCTCACCACTGATTTTGTTTCATAAAAGCTGTATTTGGACAGTCATTAGTCAACTCCTTCCTGCTATTTGCTATTTGAATTGGTGCTAATGTTAAAAGATCCCCACCTATACAAAACACTACGTTAGTAATAGAGATTATTTCACTTGCTTCGTTTAGCTATTTCCCCTAACTCGAATGAGCTATAACTAGGCAGACATGAAATTGATAGTGAAAAATAATGGCTTCCAATTTCTTCTTCTTTTTCTTCAATAGAACTTGGTTAAATTAAAAAGGGTTAGACGATTCCCACATGTGTATCTCCATAACATTTGAACCTCATATGCAATCACGAACTTTAGGACAATCAAACCATGAATATCGCAGTTTGCTTTGGGCGCGTTTAATAATAAATCATCATGATTTTGGTACGGTTCCCGTAGCATAGTCATGATACATAATCTCAATTCGGGTGCACATTTCATGTGACTTGACAACAACTTCGAACAATAATAAAAATAAATATATTGTTAACCGCGGGTGCATTTTATATGACGGGATACACAATGTGTACAAAAACAAACGAGTGCGCGACATCGCAACTTGTTCAAACAACTTCCATAAATACTAAAAGCGGTTAGTTGAATAATTAAAAGTGTTTAGAATTTAAAAATACACAATAGGTTTAAAATATGTAATAAATCAAATAATCAGGACAATTATTAATAGTTGAGCGACCGTGCTAAAATCACAAAATCTGAAAATGCCTAACACATTCTCCCGGGTTAACAGAATTCCTTACCCGGTCTTCTGGTTTCGTGGACTTTAGAACGGAATCAAATTTCCTTGATTTTGGATTTAAAATAAACTGGTAACTTGGGACACCATAAATTATCCCAAGTGACGACTCTAATTAAATAAATAATCCCATTTCGAATAATATCACTTTATTTAGAAAAACTCCCTATCCCTTCAGAAAAAAGGAGGTGTGACAAGATTAATCCCGATAAGATCAAGGCCATTGAGGACATCACTGTTGTGGACAACCTCAAGGCCGTTGAAAGGTTAACCAGGCACATATCTGCCTTGGGTCAATTCATCTCAAGGTCCTCCGACAAGAGCCATCAGTTCTTCTCACTGTTGAAGAAGAAGAATAACTTCTCATGGACTCCGGAGTTCCAAAAAGCCTTGGAGGAACTCAAGCGGTATCTCTTGAGACCACCTTTTCTTCATACGCCAAAGGCAGACGAACATCTATACCTGTACTTAGCGGTAAGTGGAGTCCTGGTCCGGGAAGAGGATGGTACGCAATATCCAATCTATTATGTTAGAAGGACTCTAGGGAGTCCGAAACTAGATATCCTCACCTGGAGGAATTGACTCTCGCTTTTCAAAGCACCTCTAGGAAGCTAAAACCGTACTTTCAATGTCACCCCATATGTGTAACTACTTATCCATTGAGAAAAATAATTCATAAACCCGAGCTCTGAGGACGATTGGCCAAATGGGCCGTGGAGATCAGTAGGTACGATATCGAATATCGGCCCTGGACCTCCATAAAGTCTCAAATTTTGGCAGAATTCGTGGCCGACTTTACGGCAGCCCTAATACCCGAGGTCAAAAGAGAGTTTTTGTTGAACTCGGGGACTTCGTTGGGAATCTGGACCCTCTTTACCGATGATGCCTCGAACACGAAGGGGTTCAGATTAGGCATCATGTTGAAGCCACCGACAAGTAATGTAGTTAGACAATCTATCAGGACTGTTTAATAGCTTAGGGTAGAGGTGATCGAAGCTACGTGTGACTCCCTCTTCATAGTGAACCAAGTCAATGGGATGTTTTAAGTCGGAGAGGAACGAATGCAAAGATACCTGGATAAACTGCAGGTAATGCTACATCGGTTAAAGGAATGGACTTTGCAACAAGTAACTCGGGATCAAAATAGAAAGGCCAATGCTCTTGCTAACTTTGGATTGTCGGTCGATGGCGATGAGTTCAATCGAGAACAGTCGTGCAACTCATGATATCGGTAGTGTAAGAAGGTCGTGCCGAGATAAACTCTACAAGCTTAACCTGGGACTGGAGAACAAATATATGGAGCATCTAAAGACCAAAAAATTTCCCTCGGATCCTAAATAGTCGAGGGCTCTGTGCACAAAGGCGTCTCGGTTCAGCTTGTCCGAAGACGGTACCCTATTCATGAGAACATTTGATGGCCCACTCGCAACATGTCTAGGACCGGGGGATACCGAGTATGTTATGAGGTAAGTCCACGAAGGCACCAGTAGAAATCATTCGTGATAACAACTAGGTTGGGAATCCAAATTAGAGTAAGAATTTGAAAAGTAAATGCGGAAGCAATAACAACAAGGAATTGAACAACTAGAACTAAAGAGATGAAAATAAAGGATATGGGAAGATGTCAAGCTAAAGAATTCCAAAACAAGATCATTAGACTTCAAGTGCAAATGAAGAAGTTATTAATTGGGAGGAAGAGCTCAAGGATAAAGGATGTGAATTGGCTAGGTGATAGCATCAAGGACAAGGATATAGTTTTGGAAGCTCCAAGGCCATATACAAGATCTCAAGCTAAAGAGTTGCAAA